TTTTAAATGATTGACTGTAGCCTGGGGGTTCTCATAATTATGTATCATTAACTGTGCATAAAAAATAAATCACAGGACCAGAGCAAGCATTTATTAATCCAGACTCTTAACCCCATGTACAGCTAGAGCCCAGCCAGTGACAAATGGTTCCCTAATGACAGTTGTGAGAGACTCACATTGTCTTTTGATCATCAAGGAGTGATTTATGTTTTGTTTGGGTAGTGAGGTTTTTTTTCTTAATTGATAGCACCAAATGTAGGTTTAACCCTCAAACAACCAAAACATTTGATGGACTGGAATGCTCTAGCCTTTAACCACAAAATAAATAGAAATACATTTGAACGTCTATCACATTTGCCCCATGTAAAACTATCATTTTTTTTTCTGATACAACAGATTTGGGTGTTGTTGCAAACCTTGGGAAAATATTGGGTTTGAAAACTCTTCATTATTCAAGGCAATACAGCGCTTGTGTTTCACCTCTTCAGTGAGTAATATTTTACCCGTAATACTTATTGAATGCCTGCCATGTGCTAGCCTCTTTACAAGGTGCTGGGTACAAGAATGAATAAGGATTCTGGCTCCTGTACAATGGCTGGCAGTGGCAAGAAGCACTCAATGAATGCTTTTTGAATTAATGACATAATCCCTGCCTCTAAAGAGCCCTATCCTGTGGGAAACACAGACACCTAATTGGGGCATATCATGTTCCCAAAATATCGAGTGAGCTCAAGTGAGGATGGATGGGAAGGGCTACTGCTGGCATGTTTTAGATGCCTTTGTAAGTTCCTAACATGGTGTCAAGGGCACACTATCCTGTTCAATGACACCTCCTGACTCTGTCTGAATGGTTACTCGGGCCTGTCCTCCCAGGACCTCACAGGGATGCTTGTGAAGTTGTGTTTGAACTCCTATTAATAGGCCTAGTCAGTCCGCAGCAGATTGCGTCTTAACATCAAACAACCAGAATCTCCAATGACTGCTTGGCACCAAGCCAACCATCAAGCATCAAAGCCATCTTCCTTGAAAATCAGCTCCATGTGATGATAAATAAAGGCATCGGGATTCCAAACCAATTATCTCATCCTGAAAGGCATATTCTTCAAGGGCACCCTGGGCTTTGTTTAAAAAAGAAAACAGTGGCATTGCTGATGCTAGCCCTGGAGTGTCAGCAACGACCACAGCAAAAGGACAGGAGGAATAACCAGGAAAACCAAAGAGGTAGAACTCATGCCTCACACATTGCACCACCTTGCAAAAGCTCAAGAAAAATATGCGCTTATTTCATTTTAAGTTCTTGGCTTGGGCTCCCACTAGCAAAACGGGAGTGACTCTTGTCAAACTCTTGTCCACACTGGGAAACTTCTCTGGCAGCCCCAGAGTCCACACTGGAGTGACTGTAGGAGGATAGGACAGTTACCACCACTGAACTTACCTGGTCTGTGTGACCCTATGTCTTAAGGGGCTGAATCCCACAGTAGACATGAAGCAAGTAGTCTCTTCTGAGATCCTCACTGGAATCCTCAGTGTGAAACCAAATTATATCTACTCAAGCAACATAGTACAATATTCAGCCGTTGGCAATTAAGCCCTTATCTAAAGCATAGTATGGTGGTAGGAGGAAAACCTGGCTCTGGAGAGCCTGGACACTTGTACTTCAATCCCAGGTCCCAGATCATGAGCTGTATAAATTGAATCAGGAATTTAATCTGTCTGGTATTCCAGGTTAATGTGTGTGGCTGGTTAGTGCCCATGTTTCTTGATACACACACACACACACACACACACACACACACACACACACACACACACACACACACCATGTGCTCTAAGGATCTACCTCCTAATAGCTGCATCCCCAGAACTCCTTAGCCATCTGGCTGCTAGCTGACTTAGCACACGCATGACCGGGTAGGAAAAGGAGGAGGTGAGTCTTGTTGTCCCCACCCCTTATCACTTCTGCATCAGGTCCTGGGCGGCAGCTGGCTGGCCTGGCCCCTGTCCCTTGACACTAGCTTTCCATGGGATCTGGGGAGCACTGCTTCCACCCCTTATCTCTCGGGAGCCTCAGCATCCTTTGTTTTCCCTTTAACCCACTCACCACCCCTGTAAGCAGCCCTTTATCAGTCCCATCATTGACACCTCCCCTACCTCCCCTTTTATTTCTCTCTCAGAACCTGGCTGGTGTGATGTACAAGACAGTTTCAAAACCACAAAGCACTAACTATAAAAAGGCAGGTCATCCGGCCACACTAGTTGAAGCCTATGAACTGTGGCTGTGGAGCCCCTATGGGACTGGACTAGGCCCTCTGGATATAGAAGATGGTTGTTTGGCTCAAACTGTTTCGGGGGCACCCAGGCAGGGGGATTGGGATCCATCCCTGGTGCATGGGCAGGCTTTTTTTGGGAGCTGGGTGCCTGCGGTGTGACACCTTGCACAGCCTTGGTGCAATGGGGAGGGACTTGGACCTGCCTAGGCTCAGTGTGCCGGGCTCTGCTGACTCCCCATGGGAGACCTTGATTTGGGGGATGTAGAGATGCGTGGTGGCTTGGGAGGGAGGGCTGGGGGGTGAGAGGAGGGAGGAGGGGCGATCTGTGGGTGGTATGTGGAGTGTGTAGAAAATTTCTTAATAAAGAAAAATGAAAAAATAATTCAGGTCATCAAATCAGTGTCATCTACTAGTATTTGGTCATATTTTTACCACCAAAACTATAGTCAGAAACTTATAACTGTCCTGTTTGTATCTAAGTATTGTGATGGCCCAGAAACAAATACAAAATGAAAGGCCAGTGAGGAAGCTGGTGTTGAATATTTCACTTGGATCTGGTTTGCCTCCTCTTGATTAATTAGGACCTGGTCAGAAAACTGGACACTTGTCAGAACAGATGGGTATCTAGTCACACTGCAACTCTTTACCCTCCAGAACGTGGGACCCGACCATAGAAAAGGAGAAATGGGGTTTGCTCAGATCTGAATAGATGTGCATATCCATCTGCACGTCCATTTCCATAGAGGGCCCCCTCCATGAAGAGATGGTGGTGTTGGACCCTTTCCTAAACAGCTGTCACGGTGACTCTTTCATTAGTGCTCCTCATGTCTCATTGTGGAGATAGGATTTATTCTCATTGTATGATTATTTGAACATTTATAGTCTTTCACAATGAAAGTCTTAGTCTATATATAATTTCTCCTTAAAATAATGGCCGTTATGAAGACATCTCTTTCTCAGCATATTAAGAAAAGTTGTTATGGTGACACATGCATGCAAACTGTTCTTTTGTGATGCCAATATTCATTTAACTAAAGTAGGAGGGTCTGAAGTTCAAAGCTAGTTAGGCTGCATGTCAGGACCCTGTCCACGTAGCTAAATATGTTTAAGAAACAAACTTAAGAATTTGTCTTGGGGAAGAAACAAAAGTAATTGCTTTGTTATTGTCAATACTTTATTTGTCTAGCCACAGTCTCATGTAACAGCAGCCTGGCCTCAAATTTGCTGTTAGTCTAGGATGGCTTTGAACTTCTGATCCTCTTCTTCCACTTCCTAAGTGCTGGGATTCTAATAGATGTGTGTCATAAAGCGTAGTATGGTGGTAAGTTTTTAGTTACTTTCCTATTGTTGTGCTAAGATACCATGACCAACACAACTTATAAAATAAAGGGTTTGATTTGGGGCTCATGGTTCCGGAGGGTTAGAGTCCATGACTGTCACAGGGGAGAATGACAGCAGGCAAACAGGAATGGTACTGGAGCAGTAGCTAAGAGTTTCCATGTTGAAACAGAGAAAGCTAACTGGGAATGGTACCAGCAGTTGTTGAAACCTCAAAGCCCATCCCCAGTGAAACACCTTCTCCAACAAGGATACACTTCCTAATCCTTCCCAAACAGTTCCACCAAATGGGAACTAAGTATTCAAATACATGAGCCTATGGGAGGAATTCTCACTCAAACCACCACACCATACCCTGTATATTTGGTGGTAGAAAATCAAACTCAGGGCCTGTGGTGGTTTGAATGAAAATGGCCCCCATAGGCTCATAAGGAATGGCACTATTAGGAGGTGCAGCCTTGTTGGAGTAGGTGTGGTCTTAGTAGAGGAAGCATGTCACTAGGGGTGGGCTTTGAGTTTACAGAAGCTCAAGCCAAGCCCAGTATGAATCTCTCTTCCTGCTGCCTTTGGATCCAGATGTAGAACTCTCAGTTACCTCTCCAGTACCATGTCTGCGTGCATGCCTCCATGCTTCCTGTCATGATGACAATGGACTAAACCTCTCAACTGTAAGCCAGCCTCCAGTTAAATGCTTTCCTTTATAAGAGTTGCCATGATCATAGTGTCTTTTCACAGTAATGGAAACCCTAACTAAGACAGAGTCCCTTTCATGCAAGCCAAACACTTGACCAACTGAGCCACATCTCTAGATATAGGCATACATTTAAAAGTCTAAGCTGGGAGGTGGTGACTCACACCTTTAATCCCAGCACTTGGGAGGCAGAGGCAGGTAGAACTCTGAGTTTGAGGCTAACCTGGTCTACAAAGTGAGTTCCAGGATAGGCAGGGCTACACAAAGAAACCTTGTCTTGAAAAACTGATAAAATAAAACAAATAAGAAAAGGAAGTCTAAAATTGGGCTCTATGACACACACTTGTAATTCTAGCATCAAGAGTTTGAGGTCAGCCTGGGATACATGATACCTTGGGTTTTTTTGTTTGTTTGTTTTAAGAAGAAGTCTAATAATGAATTATTGCATACTTCCACCTACTTACATAAAGTAGGCTTTATCACTTGCTGGCAACAGTAAATATTTCAGACATATTAAAATAAAAGGAATTTTATTGGCACAGTAGGTGGGATAGCTTAATTATACTTGAGGATCTAGTGGCTGAAATTAATCGACAATTTATTTGGGGTCCTGCCACCAGAAAGTTCTTTTTTGACCTAGAATCAGCCTGTTCAAGATTTACATCCCAGGAAAATCAGACTAGCCTGACTAGGTTCACAGACACTCCCTTTGGTAAAGAGACTTGGCTCATTTGATTGGCAGTTTTGGTATAGGGATGGGGAGTGCCAAAGGAAACGTGAGATACCAGGAACAGGGGAAGGAAAAAGAGATTTGGGACTGGAAGAAAGAAAAGACTCTACCACAAAAGTCCTTGAAACATTTTATGACACACTATTCAGGTATTCGCTGTGGGACTGTTGCAATGGCTCAGGAGGTAAGGGTGCCTGCTGACCTGAGTTTGATTCCCGGGACTCACACGATGGAAGTCATCCTCTAACCTCAGTCATCCCACTCTCCCAGGAACTCTGTAAAGTTGAAACAGTTTGAAAGAGGAAATAAAGCTTATTCTTGGAAAGCAATGAAATGGCCTACTTAAAGAGGAGAGAAAAATAAGATTCTTCTGGTTTCTGAATCAAGGATGGACTGGAGACAGTACACGGCTGGACACTGAAGGAAAGGAGGCCATCAGAGTGACTTAGAAGGGAGAGTGGCCTGGGTGGCAGTCAAGAACGACACATGGTGTGAATAGATGCGAGGTGTGTTTTAGGAATGAGAGAAGTTGCTGAGGGAGTGAATCTTCTGGTGCCTAGCAAGGACAATCGAGGATGACCCAGGGTGACTAATGATACTGAGTGTAAACAGGAAGATGGGGTGTAGGAGCTTGCCAAACACTCGGGTTTCTCACCAGGCATTATCATGAGTTCAGCCATCATGGTTGAGATGTCGGAGGTGTTTGAATGGCGTCTCTTTGTTTACTACAGGAAGCACTAGCAAACAGTGGACTCCTTAAAGCTTCACAAGGGAGATATCTCCTGATTTGGACTTATTTTTTCATGTGTATGACTGAAGGGCCCATCTAAATGGCTTCTCAACAAGAACAGAATAATCTAACTCAAAGATATATTTGAGTGTCTGGTTCTCCAGAAAATTGTTTGCAGTTTTGAAATGAACTTTTGCAGCTTCCCTTTGTGTCCCTACTTCAATAGCCTTGAGGCTGCATTTGAGACATCTTGACCTCAGATGCCTGCTCTCTCTCTCTCTCTCTCTCTCTCTCTCTCTCTCTCTCTCTCTCTCTCTCTCCCTCCCTCCTTCTCTGCTTCTGTAGAAAGCAGAGTCTCAGAACCCACATGGCCCAGAATGAAAGCTCTGCTGGGGACTAGACCTATGGGCTGGTTACATGACCAGATAACCACACGGTCTGGCAATTATTTGTGTACTCCTCAGCCATCCCTGGTGTGCTGTGGCAGGCTAAGGACTAGCATCTATGCAGTGCTGCTCCATACTTGAACTTCATAGAGTTTAAAATCTCCCTTAATATCAAACTCATAGCGCAGTGTGAAGTGCAAAGAGAGAAGATGGGAGGGAAACAGGAAAGTCAGAGAAGAAAGGGTAGCAGCCAAGTGAGTTTTCCTGTGAGACATTCAGAACTCTTACCTGAAGTCACGTCTGTGGTGAAATGTAACCAGGCAACTCACTGTTTTCCTCCACGACAAGGCAAACAGCCAGAGTGACTGATTTCTCACACTGACTTGACTGATTTTAGGACTTCAGAGACTGCTTAGTGGCATCCCCTTCTCTAGGGGCGATAGACTGCTGACAATAGGTAGATCTTGAAAATGTCCATAAACCTTCTGGTGACAGCTTTCTAGATGTCTGTAATGTAGAAATTTTTTTCTGGATGTTACTGGAAGGTTATGCCCCCTGTCTCTCTTTCTTTCCTTCTAGCCAAGGCTGGCCCTCAGCTTGAAGTCCTCCTGTTTCAGCCTCCCAAGTACTATTACTACAGGCGATTACTACAATGTCATCATGCCTAGCTGTGAATTTTGTTCTGTTCTGTTCTGTTTCTGGCTTTTTTTTTTTTTTTTTTTTTTGAGGCAGGGTCTCTTTATATAGCCTATGTTAGAATTGCACATGACTATAATTGTAGTAGCCCTTGGGAGGTGGAGGCAGGAGGATCAGAAGTTGAAAGCCATCCTGGGCTACATCAGACTTTGAGGCTAGCCTGCTTCATGAGAGCCCCTCTCAACAAGTGAGACAAGCAGTGACAACAGGAGTAAAAATTTTTAGAATGGACGACAGGCAAGCATGAGGACTGTGTTCGGATCTCTAGCAGCCATAGAAACAGCCTGGTCCAATAGCACGTGTCAGGGCTGAGGGGGCCCAGACACATCTCCAGCTTACTGGCCAGCTAGCCCAGCTCAGTCTGTGAGCTGTGGGTTCAGTGAGAGGCTGTTTCAGAAAATAAGGGGCAAAATGATTGAGGAGCACACCCAACATCAACCTTTGGTCTCTACACATGCTCGCGGGCACACACACACACACACACACACACACACACACACACACACACACACGCCTCGCTCACTGAGTGGAGAGGATGAAGTTTTACCTGCACATCGCTTATTTAGACACTCCTTAACTTAACATAACGAAGGCTGTACCTCTGCCGTGTGTCCTGGAGTTAGGTTAGCATGGTTAGCATCCGTAACACAGAAGGGTGCTCTTCAGAGTACTGGGGTCGAAGGATGGGAGTCAGACCGAAGGAGAGAGAGTACATACAGCTGCAGAAGAGCAGTGTGGAGGCTTTGGATGGGGCCCAGCCATGCCCAGCGCTCCCCAGCTCCCTCGGAACCAGTACCGCCTGTGTTGAATTAGCAAAGGCGGCCACGTGACGTCAGAGAGGGCAAGGCCTAGGTGAAGACAGTGACCTCTGCTCTGAGAGGGTGAAGTGAACACTTTCACTTTCCTCCACATTATCACTTTCGGTGGTGTCATGGTAACAGGATTCTTTCTTCGAAAACAGAGACGAGCAGCAGATGACAGGTGGCGGCAACAGAATTCTGGAGACTGAAGAGGAGACAGATGAATGCTAACCAGGGGAAGTAAGGAAACCAAAAGCTGGGGGTGCAAAAGAAGGGGTCCAGAAGCAAGTGGACCTGCTCAGAACACCACAGAGACCCCAGACTGTGATGAGGCACCTTTGAATAAAGGCTTTGAACGTTAAGGTGTGTGGCATGTGCCCATAGCCCAGCATTCAGGAAGGCAAAGCGGGAGCAGTGTCATGAGTTCGGGGCTAGCCTGGGCTGCATAGTGAATTCCAGATTAGCCAGGAGTGAAATTCTGTCCCCCAAAGGAAGTTAAGGTTGGAGGCAGAGTATCAAAAGTTTAAGGTCAGTCTTGTTACGCGTAAGTAAACCTTGTCTCAAAAACAAAAGTAGAACCTTGGGTCCTTCCTCCTGCCACACAAAGCTCTCCCAGCCCTGTGGGGAGGTGGACCGTGTCTACTGAACTGCAGAAGGCCGAGGGTAGAGGGGCTGAGCTAATGACGTTGGCTGTGGAAGGCCGAGGTGAAGGCAGAGGTTTGGGTGGAAGTCTGTAAGCTGAAGCGTGAAGGGACAGCAGACTCACTCCTCACGGTTTCCAGAATGCCCAAGTCAGCTTCGCATTTTCTGGAAAGGACGGAAGGGCTCTCTCTGGCTACGTAAATATGCCAGCAGAAAGAGTCTGAAGATAGCTATGGTTAGGAGTCTCCTGCACAGAGGCTCCCTCAGTCAGTTCACCATCCTGTGCTCGCTGCTTGGTACGCCCTTCATGCTCAGGCACGCAACTGTCTTGTCATTTGGGGGTGTGACTCAAAATCTTAACGGGGCAGACAAGTATCCCCCCTGAGCTCAGCTAACAGGAAAGGAACGAAAAGAAACAGTGCCTCGGTGGAAAGCAAGACAATGTTGGGTAAAGAAAACTTTAAAGAAGAATGAGAGAAATAGTAAACAGACTATTGACAGCAGCAGCAGCAACAACAGCAAAAAGAGAGTTGTTGAACTTAAATATTTGTTAGAACAAAGGGTTTTTTTTTCTTTTTCTTTTTCAATCCTAAAACTCAGGAGGCAGAGGTAAGGGGATCTCTGTGAGTTCAAAACCAGCCAGAGCTCCTTAATGAGACCCAGTCTAAAAAAAAAAAAAAGACAGATTCCTCAAATTGCTTGCTTTTTCTTGCTGCATTTAAACAAGAAGGGGCTTTAAGTAAATATTTTCTGATTGTGTGAACAAAAGTGGGTGAGATCAAGTTACCGACTCACTGCACACAGGAAAGTACTCGATTATCTGCGAATTCGTGTGTGTTCAATTCTTTTACTTGAAATTCGTGCCATTTGGATGGGGAACTCCAGAGTTGATAATTGAGGTTTTGCTCTTGGTATTGGGGATTAACCCAAACTTGCAGAAGTGAGGCACATATCTGCGTTCTTACCTGAGAGTGTTACGTTTCTAAGTTGAAGTGTCCGCTCAATGCCTTGGGAAAACGTATGGAAAAAAAAAATAGACAGGGTTTGACCAGGATAGCTCTTTGTGAACTTTCAGAAAATTCAAGACAAAGACAGGATCTTCAAAGCACTGGCAGTAGCCGGGACAGGGTGATAAGCGTCTCTTTGGCTGATTTTGGCTAGCTAACTGCAAACAAGCCCCTCAACTTCGTAGCTGCAGACAATAGCATACTTATCTCCTCCTGCCAATCCCGCGAGAGAGGAATGCAGAAGTGGCCCCTTTGCCTGCCTGGTTCTGACTCTGGGATCTCCCACTGAGGTTTCAGTTTAGTGATATGAGCTGGAGACATTTCAGAGTTCTCTTTTAATATCCTGGAACACTTGAGCAGCTGTGGCAGAAATAACTCCGGCCCTTTGGACGTCTCTGTCTCTCTTCGTATCACTGCTACAGTTGGAGTATCTGTTTAAATGACTTCTGTCATCATTGAAGGTAATGAATGGTAAAGAGGTAGTAGTCTGTCAGGAGAAGACACTGGGGACAAGCATGTTTTTAAAAAGTCAAGGTCTTTGGGATGATATCAGTCATGGGGGGAGTAGGTCTAATGTGTTTATTTTTTAAAAGCCACCCAATACTCCAACCACAACCATTTTGGGATTCCAACCCCTACCCTGTTATGGGCCCTTCTCTCCCAAGAAAGTCTCCAAGTCAGCCTTTTGCCACCAAGATTCTGTGCCTCCGCTTCCTGAGACCTCCAGTCTCTCCCAGAGATGCCCCAAAGCTCTATTTGTTGCCGTCTGGAACCCTTCCCCTCTTCCGACAACCCCTCTTCCCTAGAGACTCCCTAAAGTCTCTCCCATCCCTGTCAGTTGCTTGCTTGCAGGACCGTACACGTCAGGTAGAGACCTGCTGGCCTCTTCTGTTTAAGCTCAGCCCATAAAGCCACAGCAACCTTACCCCAGGGACCCCATCTGCTTCACATCTTACGCACAAAGTTAAGAGGCTTGGCTTCTACTCACACCCATCTATACTGTCTCAAACTCTTTCTAGGTGCCTAGCCTAAGTAACCTCCTGTGCCAGGTGAGAGACCCGGCTTCCCCCAATTAGGACCGTGCAAGTTGCCCTGGGAACTCCATTTAGACACTTGATCCCAGAAGCCACAGCCACCAGACAGTAGCTGACACTCAGAGGAAATTTTTGAATAGATCCCGTAGAACCAGCTACCACAGAGGAAAATGACATCTCAACCCTACTATGACTTAGCCCCTTCCTGAACATAGTCTCCTCCTGAACATTGTAAATGCCTCCACTGAAAGAAGAAAAGAACGTGGGAAAAAAAGAAAGACTCAACTAATTCCAGATGTAAGGTTATATAGCACAGAAACAAAACAACACAGAAAACCAAGACAATATGTCTCCTCCCCAAATGACTAACCTGTAGAAATGGCCCCCAGCAAGTATGGCCTAGAAGGACTTCCCGACAAAGAATCCAAGAGGATGATTGTAACTATGTTCAACCGACTCTTGGAAAGCAGGCGTGTACTCCAAGTGAATGAAGACAAAGAGCAGAATGAAATGAGTAAGTCAATATGAGATACGAAAGTCTCCGTCAACAGAGAAAGAAGGGCTGAAGAAGAGCAAAAGTGGAGAAGACTGTCATTGAGAAGCTCACTAAACCGACTGAAAAGCTCAGTGGCAAGTCTCCTCAGCGGACTCGATTGTGCAGAAAACAGAATTGGGACTGGAAGACAAGGTAAAAGAATTGGGTTACTCAGAACAGATCAGTAACAAACCTTCCAAAACACATGAATGGAGCACTAGAGAGTTTGGGAACACTGTGAAAAGATCTAACCTTCAAATTGTGAGCCTAGAAGGAAAAGAAGAATGCCATAACAAAGGCACAGAAAGTATTTTCAGTAAAATCATGAAAGAAAGATTTCCAAGTCTAGAGAAAGACATGCCCACTCAGGTACAAGAGGCCTATAGAATGCCAAATGAACAGGGCTGGAAGGGGAATTCCTATGACATATTACAGTCGAAACATTTAAAACCCATAAAAAAGGATATTAAAAGCTACAAGAGAAGCTTTAATGTTAGAGGCTTTGTCTCTTAGGGCTCTACTACTGTAAAGAGACCCCATGACGACCAAGGCAACTCCCATAAATGAAAACATTTAATTGGGGTGGCTTGCTTATAGTTCAGAGGTTCAGTCCATTATCATCATGGTGGCACACAGCGGTGCACAGGCAGATGTGGTGCTGGAACAGTAGCTGAGAGTCCTACATCTTTCAGGTAACAGGACCATGTCTGACTGCAGGCTGCCATGCCCCACCATGATGATAATGGACCAAACCTCTGAAAATGTAAGCCACTCCAATGAAATGTTTTTCCTTTATAAGAGTTGCTCTGGTCATGGTGTCTCTTCACAGCAACAGAAACCCTAACTAAGACAGTTGGCCTAGAGCTCACTACGTAGACCAGGTTGGCCTTAAACTCACAGAGATCCTTCTGATTCTCCCTCCTGAGTGCTGGGGTTAAAGTGTGAATTATCATGCCCAGCTAAATTTGGCTCTCTCTTGTTCTTGGACATCCCAGTGTGTAGAACTTGTATCCATTTGTGTTACTTATAAATTACTCAGTCTAAAGTATTTTCTTACATTATCAAGAGTAGACTAACAAAATCATGATATCAGCTCTAATGAAGTGAGAGAAAGGGGGCAGAGAAAAGAGAGAGATTGTTTTTCATGACCTACTCTGGAGGTGATCAGCATCGTTTCTACCTCACGCTGGTTAAAAAGGTCCAAGTTCAAGCAGAGGCCTGTAAAGTCAGGGTTCTCTAACATCACAGAACTTATGGAATGAATCTTTCTCTGTCTATAAAGGGAATTTATTGAAATGACTTATAGGCTGCAGTCCAACTAATGCAATAATGGTTAGCTGTGAACAGAAAGTCCGAGAGTCTAGTAGTTTCTCAGTCCTACAAGGCTGGATGTCTCAGCTGGTCTTCCGTATATGCTGGAATCCCAAAAAAGCAGGCTCCAATGTCAGTGAAGGAATGGATATGCTAGCAAGGTGAGGGCAAGCGGGCAAAGACAAAAAAAAAAAAAAAATCTTCCTTCTTCCATGTCCTTATATAGGCTTCTGGCAGAAGGTATGGCCCGGATTAAAGGTGTGTCTTCCCACCTCAAGATCCTAATCACAGATGTGTCTTCTCACCTCAATGGTCTGGACTACAAGGAGATTCGCTCACTTCAAACCAAGCAGAATAATCACTCACAGGTGTGCCCTCCACTTCTGGATTTTAGTTCATTCCAGATATAGTCTGTAACTCGAATCTTAAATCTTATTAAAAGAAAAACACGGAGGAGCCAGGTATTGGGGTGAATGCTGAAAGATCAGAGAAACAGAACAAGCCACATCCAATCTCACCTTGCCAACTTCTCAGCTGATCTTGTTTCCTCGAACTGAAAGCCTCTGAATCCTCATCCTAATGGATCTCAGCTGAACTGCTGCTAAAAGCTAA